CTCACCAAGGCTGCATTTATTTGATCAAAAATACAATAAAAACAGTAATATTCAGAAAAGTTGTTACAATTAAAAATATATTTTTCTATTGTAATATATATTTAAAATGTAATTTATTCCTGTGATCAAAGCTGAATTTTCAGCATCATTACTCCAGTCTTCAGTGTCACATGATCCTTCAGAAATCATTCTAATATGCTGATTTTCTGCTCATAAACATTTATCATTATTATCAGTGTTGAAAATAGTTGTGCCGCTTCATGTCTTTTGGAAACCGTGATACTTTTTCAGGATTGATTGACTGATTTATGTCTTTACTGTCACATTTGATCAATTTAATGCATCCTTCCTGAATAAAAGTATTAATTTCTTAAAAAAACAACAACAAAATCTTACCGACCTCAAACTTTTGAATGGTATATAAAGCATTTTATTTTGATTCTTTGGTCTGATAAGAATAAATTGCACTTTGACAAACCTGACTACAATTTTTTATTATTTATATGCTTTTATAGTATTTATTAATATTTTGAATAATTTTTATATTCTAATCCTAAAGATGGACAGAAAATGGGTGCAGGAAAATGCTGCAATCTGAAACCGGACTAGGATTTGGGTACTGTTGAAGAAAATGTCCTAATCAAAATTCCAGTAAGAATAATTTATTTTTTAATCTAATATGAATATGAATCAGAGTGCCATAGTATTACCATCACTTTACAGCTACAGTACAGTTTGAAGAGGGAAAAGATGAAAAGGCTAAACAAATGTACTTTATATTAAATAAAAACTATTGGACATACATGAAAACCCCTTTGTGACATACATGCCTTTGTGTTTACCTGTATGGAGTCATGCATATTGCAGGTGATATGAGAGAAGACAGCCACGGCAGGTAAAGACACCAGCACTGCTCCGATCATGTGACGGGGAACCCAGCCGGAAATGGCCCAGAGGAGGGTCCTGGTGCAGTTCAGAACGCTGTCCAGGTAAAAGGCTCTTCTGTAAAGTGGACAATGAGATATACACATTTCATCAGCACTCTACAGCAACAGCTACATGCACTTTGTGTATTGTGCATTATGCTGCACTGGTACCGTTTTAAGACTAAAGTAACAGTCTATTGTGAACAACAAAATGGAAATACATCCCAATAACATATTTGAATATGAGAAAAACTCTCATAATTTATATTAATAAATAAAAAAATTTTTACCCATACAGTGGAAGTCAATGGGAACCGGAACTGTTTGGTTACCCACATTCTTCAAAATATCTCCTTTTGTCTTCCACAGAAGAAAGTAAGTCATACAGGTTTGGAACAACATGAGGGTGAGTAAATGATGATTTTGGGGTGAATTGTCCTTTTAAAGGGGTCATATGATGCGATTTCAAGTTTTCCTTTCTCTTTGGAGTGTTACAAGCTGATTATGCATAGATAAGATCCCTGAAGTTGCAAAGACTAAAGTCTCAAAACCAAAGAGATATTCTTTATCAAAGTTAAGACTCTGCCACGCCCCCCTAAAACGGCTCGTTCTAACACGCCCCCACATATCTACCTCACTATGTGGAAATATTTGCATAATGCCGCCCAAATGTGCACGCAAAGAAAGAAGGCGTGGTTTCAGTAACCACAGTTAGTGTTGAAGCAGCCATGTCAGGGAGACGCTGTGTATTTCTAGGCGAAAGCAAAAGCACTTTATTTGGCCTTCTGGAAGTAGATGCATTTAGGAATCTTTAAGATGAGCAGGCAGGTTTAAATAAGACATAATTCATCCAAAAATGAAATTTCTAGCATCATTTATTCGCCATCATTTCATTCTAAACATGTACAATTTTCTACAAATATAGCATGCCATGTTGCACTATATTTGATTATTCATCAGAGGTCTTAACTAAAACTAAAATCATAAAAAAATGGTTACTTGAAATAAAATAAATGTTAACTGAAATGAACTAAAACTTTAACTTATTGCAAAGGCAACATTTATCATTTTTGTTTAGTTTAAAATTAAGTACTAAAACAATTCAATCTAAATTAACTACAACTAATAAATAAAAATGAATAAAAACAATATAGACTATAACTAAAACTACTAAATAAACATTAATAAAAACTACACATACATCCAAAAATGAAATCATTTATTCACCCTCATGTCATTCTAAAACTCTAAAATTAATTTAGTCCAAACCTAGAATGCCGTGTTGCAACATATTTGATTAATATAATGTACTAAAACCATTTGAAAACATTTTTGATACTTGAAATAAAATAAACATTAACGAAAATAAAATATTAATAACACTCCAAAGAGAAAGGAAAACTTGAAATCGCATCATATGACCCCTTTAACATCAGTTCTAAACATTGTGACAGAGTGATAAGATAACAAATGAAAGTCAGCATATAAATGGAAGGAACGTCTTACCTCATCCTGGTAGCTGGTCCTGTAAGACGACTCCAGGGATTTGTCTATGAAAGTGTGGCTCAACTTGTTGATGGGCGGTTTGAAGAAGTAATCTTTCATCAGACTGCAAGGTCGAAGCACAGAAAACAACATTAGATTGTGGAGGGAATTCACTGCATCCATTGTTCAATTGCATGCAGAACATCTGCACTGAAAAGAGGCAAAGAAAAAGGTTGGTTTTAAAGGCACATGGAGCAGAGTTATATCAGTGCATATGGTCACAACCCTAAATCAAAAGAAAAAAATATATTTCACATACAAAATGTAGCTTAAAGGAGTTCACCCAAAACTGAAAATTTACTCGCTCGCAGGCCATCCAAGATGTAGATGAGTTTGTTTCTTCATCAGAACAGATTGGGAGAAATGTATATAATTTTCTCTCCAATGGATCCTCTGCAGTGAATGGGTGCCGTCAGAA